GAATATACGTGAGCACTGGGAATGTGTGTTGAATTGAAGCTGACTAAAATTAATGGAGATGAATGAAAGATGTGAAGGTAAGTCATTTGAAAGAAGTTGGGCTTCAAAGTTAAGTTTGCATGCCCTGAAATTGTGAGTGAAGTAACACGGTGTGTGTTTGTCTTCTAAAAGATGTGATTTTCTTACTTAAGGAGCATGCAAGCATAGTGTTGAAGGGGGAAAAAAGGGTAGTCAAAGAGACGGCCCTCATTTCTCGGTGGTGGGATTCGAACCTTTAACGTTTTGCAAGCATAGTGTTGAAGGGGGAAAAAAGGGTAGTCAAAGAGACGGCCCTCATTTCTCGGTGGTGGGATTCGAACCTTTAACGTTTTGCAAGCATAGTGTTGAAGGGGGAAAAAAGGGTAGTCAAAGAGACGGCCCTCATTTCTCGGTGGTGGGATTCGAACCTTTAACGTTTTGCTTGTTAGCATTAGCCTTATAAAGGGTGCACCACCCCTACAGTTCTCCTGTGCGCTCACAATGGCCCTCAACTAGGGCTCTGGCAGGCCGCACTCTCGCGGCTATAGAGGTGCACGCAGTAAGGGAGTGCTGAAGACACAAAGGCTGGACGAAATCCAGCTTGCGAAATGGGTTATTCTCACCTCAAAACACATCTGCAAATACCGAACCAAATGTGTCTGCCAGTTGGGTTCTTCTTTTTTCTTTACATTTTCTTTTCTTTTTCTTCCTCCTCCTCCTCCTCCTCCTCCTCCTCCTCTCCTCTCTGCTTCCCAGTACATGCACCACCTGCTAAATCTTCTAACCTGCTCTCCTATCCTCAGGCCTCTCCTTCTTCTTTTTCCCCTCTCTCAGTGTTTCTGGTTTTTTTTTTTTTGATTCGGTTTTTCACGCCCAACTCATCAAATCAGCTCTATAAACACTGGACACGTCAACTTGCCCTATGCACGTATCATATTCGGAAATGCTCGCCGCGATCTTGATAGAAAGACTGTCTTCTGTTTAAATTTAAGGACATGTAACTCTTAACCCCACCCTGATCAACTTGGTTGCCTTTGAGAATTGAATTCATTTCAAGTAAGTAATTGAATTTACTAATTCAGCTTAAACCAAGAGCCATGCTCAGTGATCACACACTGACACAGAGCCCCACTTCTGGGTCTGCTCTGACCCATCCTTGTCCCGTGGCGGTGCTTGTCCTCGTCGCTGTTCTTTGCATCCATTGCATGTTTTGGAGCACATCAGGGCTCACAGAAAATCTCCAGGAAACAAACATTTCCCCTAGATCCTCTGACCACCGGCATCTTATACATGCTTCATGGGTTTTTCCTCTTGTGCCTGTCTATTCACTTCCCATAAAGACCTGCTTTCAGCCTTCTAATACTCGGTGGTGGGTCTCCTCCTCTTCCTCCCTCTAGTCCTCTTTCTTTCTTTCCCCCACCCCCCTTCTTGTCAAAAAAAAAATGAAAAAGAAGAAGAAAAGAAAAGAAAAGAAAAAGCAAACTCCTCTCCAGAGGTCTAAACTTTCACACTTCCTCCTGAATCCAACATTCTTCTTCTCATCCTGAAGATGAGTTGTGCGGAAGGCATGTTAAAGGTAGAGCTTGCTAGTCTGACCTGAAGGAGGAAGAAAATGATATGTGTTTAATGAAATTTCATTCCAACTGAAAGGGCTTAGCGGCACCAGGGAATCACACACAAGCTGAACCTCCTGCATGTTCGAATGTGACATGGTGTCTCTGTAGGTGGGGAGCGTGGAAGTTTCGATATGTGGTTTTACTTCAATGATGCCATTTTGGTATGTGTTAATGAAATATTTCTGGGGAAAGACTAGTGAATAGTGAATTAGAAGAGCACAAGGCAAATATTTTTTTGTTTTTTTGTTTGTTTGTTTGTTTTTGCACTTAGACCATTAGTTCTTTTTCTAAGTTTCTGACAATTTGCACTCTGTAAATTATGTTAAGCTGTTAGATTACACGCTCTTTATCTTCCAGAGTAGCTGCAAACTCCAGTACCAACAGCTGTGTAGTGTGCATACCAGGGAAGGATTCACAAAGCTGGAACTTGTAATCTATAGTTCCACCTGAATTTAAAGAAATAGAGGGTGCTCGCTTGGCAGCACTTATACTAAAATTGGAATGACATGGAGATTAGCATGATCCCTGGGCAAGGATGACATGCAAGTTCCCAAAGCATTTCCACAAGGAAGCTAACAACTGTCAGTAGCTGTACTTCCAAGGGATCTGACACCCTCTTCTGCCCTCCTCCAGCCTTGCACAGCACAGCTGCACTTACAAACATGCAGGAATCATAACTCATAGACATCAAATTCAAAAAATTAAAAAAAATTACAAAGACTAGGGATGTGGATTTGGTTAGGAGACTGAACCCTCGCCAGCAAATCCTTTGGCTTTTTTCCTTTGCGCTAATTATGGAAAAATGAAGAAGAGCAACACGGGCATTGAAATTGTGTCCTCTGCATTAAAAACTGTGGACCTCACTCACTCCTTTCTCTTTTCTTTTTTTCCCTTTCTATCTCCAGTCTTCACCTATCAAACAAAGTTTCAGCAGCTACTGAGTGAGGGAGAAGCCTCATTCCTTGTTGATGAGTTGAGAAGTTGAAGGGTAGTGGAGGAGGTAGTGAGAAAGAGATTTTGGTGGATGGATATGATCAATATTCATTGTCTAAATGTATGAAGCCTTCAAGGAATAAAAAGTAATATTAAAACAAACAAACAAACAAACAACAAGAACAAAAAAAACCCAGAACCTCAGTCGGGCGTGGTGGCCCATGCCTTTAATCCCAGCCCTTGGGAGGCACAGCAGCCAGATCTCTGTGAGACCAGGCCAGTGTGGTTTACATAGCCAGTTCCAGGCTAGATGGGTCTACAAAGAAAGAACAACAAAAACAAAAACAAAAAAGAAAAGGAAAAAGAGGAGGAAAGAAAAGAAAAAGGAAATCTGAGTGTGAAAGGAAGTAGGCGGAAGAGACGGGACAGAAAGAGGACCAGAGCGAGGAAGAGGAGGACACAAACCGAATATAATAAGGATGAAACCAGGTTTTGTTGGAAGCGAATAGACAAGCGCAAGAGGCAAAATCCATGAAGCAAGTGTAGGATGTCGAGCAGGATCTAGGGGAAATGTCTATTTCCTGGAATTTTCCTGAGAACCCTGCAGTGCTCCCAGACGTTAAGTGGAGGAGAAGAACATCAGCAAGGACCAAACAGGACAAGGATGGCGCAGGGCAGACACAGAGAAGGGGATTTATTTATTTGTTTGTTTATTTATTTATTTTTGTCACTGTGTGACCACCACACAACATGAGCAGTGTGAATAGCTGCTTGGTTTCAAGCTAAAGATAAGTGTAATTAGCTAAACTGCAGTTAATTGTTCAAGAGAACCAAGTTGACCAGGGTGGGCTTATGAGTTCTATGTCCTTAAATGTAAACGGAAGACAGCAGTTCTTGAAATGAAGTGTTGGAGCGTTGCAAAACATGGCATTTGTTGGTCAAGTTGACGTTCCCTTTAAGTTCTTTAAGAAATGTTTCGGTGAGCTGGGCGTGATAAAACCGGAAAACACCTAGAGGAGAGGGAAATAAAAGAAATGGGAGGCTTTCTTGGTTTATGTTTGTGGGGGAAAAAAACCTGTAGCCAGTCTAGCCTCAAACTCCAGATCCACCTGTGTTTGCCTTATTCAAACATATCATATCAGCATGCGCCACCACTGCCAGTGGTAGTGAATCTCGCTGTAGGCTTAGATGACATTGCTCCCGGATGATGCAAGCTGCCCCAAATGGTGCCCAAGTCAGGAGCCCCAGCCTCCTGGAGGCCGCAAACGCTCCGCCTAGGCTCCACAAACTCCACCGGTCTCTTTCCAAAAAACACGCACTCCACCTGGGTCTTCGAACGCGTACACCCGGCCTACTCCCAACCGCCCAGTTCCCCGCACCAGGCAACCCTGGCCCCCAGTCGCAGGCCCGCCCTTCACCCACTACTTTCCAGACAAGGCACCACGCGCCCCCTGCCAGACGCCCACGCAAACAAACCACCACCGCTCAGCTCCCAGGACTCTCGCCTCCCAGGCCTGGCCCTGCTCCTCCTCTCAGCTACTGCAGACCCTCACACGCAGCCCGGTGCACGCCTCTCCTGCCTCTGCTCTGCTCTTCATTTGCCCTGCCCACCTCCAGACCTCACACACGTCACTGCCGCACGCACGCACACTGTGTGTGCACCTTGGCTGCCCTTCCTCCTGCTCGCTCAGTTTGCCAGGACTCCAACTGGGAAAGTCAAGTGCACATGTAGCAGCTATCTTCTGGCTCTATGGAAGTATGTTTGGAAAGGTCAGGTAGGACACAAGGAGTGTACAGGAAGCAGGTATTTTTATTTATGGCTGCAGCCTAGTCCTGAGGCGCGCAAGTCTCAAAATCTGGAAGTAGCACATATCTTTTATGCCTTAGGCTTTGGGTTACAGTGAGAACAGTGGCTAACAGTAAAGTCTTAAAACCGAATTATTACAAATTTAGTAAAGAAAAACATGCTAAAATATCCCCTCCCTGAAAGTCATTGCAGAAGTCTCCACCCAAGACAAACAGAATTGAAGTTTCCTCAGGACACTTGCAAGTAGTTCTAACTAGCTGTGTCAGTGTTCTAAGCACAAACCTGTCAGCCGAGCTTTGCTGACAGGGAGACAAAACAGAAGTAACATTCTTATTTTCCTTGAATAGTCCATCAGGTTCTACATCAGAGACAGGAAAACGACATGTCTCTCCTAAAGAGCACAGGATCCGTGTCCAGTCAGTAATAAGGAGTCCAACTAGGTCTACTAGTCCTTGGATGCTTGACACAGACTTCCATGTGTGTGAAGCTGTACACCGCTGGCCCTCCCAGAGCCAGAGCACAAGCCCTCCATCAGCTGTCCACACCTCCTTCAAGGACCGTACCAAGTAGGTGGAGCACCCTTCCCAAGTTACAGACTTCCTAGCCAGAAGTGAGTTCAGAATTTCTGTATCTGTGCGTGCCCTGGACCTGGCTGTGGCCAGATGTTAAAGAATGTTGACAATTTTCAGAGCTTTAAGCCCAAAGATAAAGAATGTGGACAAAATCCAGTTCTCATATTGTTTCATACGGCATGAGGTTGTTGTCTTCGTTTATTTTCATTTTTTAAAGATTTATTTATTTTCACTTTTATTTGTTTGAGAATTTGCCTATAGGTATATGTACTGCATTCAGTGCCTGGTAACCAAGAACAGCTGATGCCATATCCCCTGGAACTGGAGTTATAGACAGTTATGAGCTGCTCTGGCCATTGGGTGGGAACTGAATCACTGCCCTCTGCAAGAGCATAAAATGCTCTTAACCACAGAGCCATCTCTCCAGCCCTTGGCTTATTTTCCCCCCTGTTCTTGTGATAAAATACCCTGATGAAAGCAATTTAAGGACAGAAAGGTTTATTTTTTTAGCTCACAGTTCAGGGTATGTATGCTTGGGGAGGGAGGGGCCTCAGGAATCTGGTTAGTTTCAGGGACTTCCTAAAGCTATGAAATTGTTTAACTTCCTTTTAGAACATCCTGTTATGTACCTCCCTTTAGAAGTTCCCTCATTTTACCTGGAGGAAATTGTTTCTTGTATCACTACAGAACCACCTTTGAAGAACTTAGGGATGTACTTAGGTGGCCTGACAAACCAGAACTTCTGAGGAATGGTCAAGCTTGGCCTGTAGGGGGCTTGGTCAGTGAGCAGACAAATACCATGGATGCTCTACACAAAAAGGTTTATCCCCCACCCACCCCAACCTCCATCTGGGTGTCCTACCCTGGGACTGCTGCAGAGGCCTGGACAACTCCTCAACTTCCTGTTCAGTAGTGAGAGACAGATCAGCACTAGACACTGGGAGAAAAGTTGCTGGGGGCACCTGCGCCCTGGCGGCTTGAGGGGAGGTGACGGTGATTCTTGAGATGTGAACAAATCTTTTTAAAGGAAGAAAAGAAGAGACAGCATTAACATCTGCTGGAAGATGCAGCAGGTACAATAAGAATGGAAAAAGGTGTTCATGCTAAGTGACAGCACATCCAGAAGAGAACAGATCTGCCAGGTGTGGTGGCACACACTTGGGAGGCAGAGGCAGGCAGATATTTTTGAGTTCAAGGCCAGCCTGGTCTTTGTGAGCTCAGGCCAGCTGAGGCTATAGGGAGACCCTGTCTCAAAAAGACCAAAAGACATCCCCACCCCCCAAAAAGTAGAGGACAGATCAGATCCGTGGCTCATATGCAGAATATGGAGCAAACAGAGTTGGCTGCTTTGGTTGGACTGTTTCCTTTGAGAAGCTGATGGCAAAGAATGCCAACAACTGGAACCTCAAACAGAAGAAAGGGGGTGTAGAGAAGTATCTCTTCGAATATATGTCAGCCCTATGTTAGCCCTGGAGAGCGCTGGCTTTACAAATAAAAATAGATTTAAAAAATTTAAAAAGGCAATTATGAAGTTGTTGAGCTTAAATTTTAAGTTTCAATTAAATTTAAAGGGGAAAATGCAGAGTTTCTTTTTCAAAAAATAAACTTTTACTTTTATTTTACTGATATGAGAGCTATATGCACAAGGGTGTACTTGGAAGCTTAAGGTAACTGGAGAGACAAATGTGGGTGCTTTTTAGTTGTGAGCCTGAGCCTTTAATGGCTGCGCCAGCTCCCGAGCCCAGGACCTCCTCTCATTCTTTCCCTGAAGTACTCAGTGCTAATTGAACTGCCAGGCCCTAAAGAATGTTAATTTTATGAGTTGTGGGTAAAAGCACTCCCAACAATCACGTCTCTGTGATGAGCATTTCTGGTCCCGGTGGCTCAGTGAAGGCGTAAAATGGGAAATGGGGAGTGCAACAGTGCAGCGTGGGTTTGAGGAACCCAGAAGGGAAGTAGCGGTGAAACGACTGTGTGAAACACATTTCGTAGGTGTCTGAAGTCTGTTTTATGGTGGTGCGTGATTGGATTTATTTGGGGAGAAGGGGTTAGAAAATAACGCGTAGCCCAGGCTGGCTTCTTCAGCACATCTTACCGATGCGCCCCACCACAACCAACAGGTGTCTACTTCGATGAATCCCTACTTAGCAACGGTTCATGATGACCTTTGACGTCCTGCCTTTACAGAAAGGAGCCTAAAATGGGCTGCTTTAGGCAGCAGGAACCCAGCAGTCCATCCGGCTCTGAGATACAGGTGCACTTAACATACATGCAGGCAATACACTCATACGCATAAAATAAAATCAATAAATAAAGTATCTTTTAAAAAATAAAAACCTTTTATATTATGTACAAAAGTGTTTTGGCTGCAAGTATGTAATTACACCACAGGCACTTCTTAGCTGTCATGTTAAGTGCTGGGAACATAACCCAGGTTCTCTGCTAGAGCAGCCAGTGCTCTGAACTGCTGAGCCATTTCTCCTGCCTTTCAGCACTCTTTGCCAACCCCCATGCCTCCCCACACTCCCACCCCCTCACACTTCCACCTCCCCCACACACCCCCACACTCCACACCCCTTCACACCCACACCCCTCCACACCCATGTTGGGGACCCCTGCTGTTTGGGTCGCAGTCTCTCCATGTCCATCCGGATAGCCTAAGGGGCTCAGCGTTTTTATGCAGACTCCCCTTTCCAGCAGGGCGCCTCCTACTCTCTTCCTGACTCACCTTTGAAGTGGCAGCCACAGATACATGACCTCTGGCATAGAAACTGTCAGGTTTTTCTTATGTGATAATCAGGCAGTGTCTGACAGCATAGAAGCCCACCGCCATATGTAAATAAAGCATCCTACAGAGCACCTATCAGCTGAGGCTTTTGCTACTGCCACCACACTATAAATTCTCTAGTTTCCCCCTAATAAATCGAAGCTGTATCACTGAACTTGTCTGGAGCTGTATCCTGTGTTTTACTGTGCCTGGGACCAGGCTGTGATTCAGTCTTCCCGGAGGGAGCTGTCCCCCGTCAACACCCACTCACGGGAAGCTTCTGCGTTCGCTATTCCTGCACCTTCCCCGACCTCGTGGTTCGGTGGCCAACGGACCTCGTGCACAGAGGGAGCGTCCCACAGCTGGCGCAGAGTCTGCACTCTCCACGGCCGCTGCAGAACCCGCCTGGCAGCTTGCAGCAACCCGCAGAGCCGCCAGCGCCAGGCGTGGACCAGGCGATCTGCAGAGCCCCGTTTGCACTTCCCGGCAGCCAAGGAGAGCCAGAGAGACCCGCCCAGCAGCGCGAAACCCGCGCACCCCAGCCAACAGCAGCACGGCGCATGAAGCCAACCCGCCGCACACAACAACACACCCACACAACCCCCACACTCCCACGTCACCCCTTCACACCCACACCCACACAACCCCACACTCCCTCACACCCACAGCCCCTCACACCCACACCAGCACAACCCCCTTTAGTTTTGCTAAATACAGTATTTTTGGTTGGGATTTGGTTTTTCACCACTTTGAAGACATCATCAGTAGAGCTCTATTTTCTGTAATCCTAATGAAATGATTGAAGCCAGGTAATATACAAAGATCAGAGGTTTGTTTATCACCATTTTCAACTTCTTTTTGCTTTTATGTTTTTTTTTTTTTGAGACAGGGTCTCCGTGTAGTCAGTGACCAGGAACTCAGACACCTCTGTTTCTGCTTCCTGAAGCGCTGAGATTAAAGGTGTGTGCCATCATGACCAGTTACCATTTTCAACTTCTTTCTTCTTTTCTGTTTCTGCTTCCTGAAGCGCTGAGATTAAAGGTGTGTGCCATCATGACCAGTTACCATTTTCAACTTCTTTTTTTTTTTTTTTTGTCTTTTTGAGACAGGGTGTCTCCCTGTCCCCAGCTATCCTGGAACTGGAACTTACTATGTAGACCAGGCTGGCCTTAAACTCACAGAGGTCCACCTGCTTCTGCCTCCCAAGTGCTGGGTGCCACCACGCCCAGCCACCATTTTCAACTTAACTTAAAAAAAATGTATATATATATATATATATATGTATGTATGAGTATAATGCCTGCATGTACATATGTATTTAAGTGCACCCAAATCCTGTTATAGATGGTTGCTAGGTATCTTGTGGGTACTAGGAATTGAACTGAGGGCCCCTGCAAGAGCAGCCAGTGCTCTTAACCTCTGAGCCATCTTTCTAGCACCTCTATTTTCTTTTTTTTTAAATTATTTCTTTACACATAACTGAAAGTGATGTTACAGTACATAATTTATTTACAACTGTGAAATAATGTGTTGCAAAATAATCTAGAGGCAGCAAAAGTACATTGTGACTGTATATAAAACTGTACAGGTTTACAGAGACACTCTATAAGATTATCGATTCTGTATTGTTTTAAGTTACATTCTCAGAAAGAGAAACAAAATGCCCAAGATTAAAGGAGAAATATACAAACCACCTGGATTTGACTCCATTGAAAATACTATTGGAGAGTCCTGGCTATGTCCCTCTGTGTCCAGGTAGGTGGCAGCCAGACCCTTGCTGGCACCTCTATTTTCAACTTTTTAGGGACTTACTATTTATACAAAATATCGAGTTTCTTTGTGACGTGTTCAAGTGTGCATATAATGTGCACCCCACTACCTTCACCTGTCTTCCCTCCTTCTTTCCTTTTTCCCCTTCACAGATAGTCCATCTTCTGCTTTCACGAGAACAAGTTACTTTAGTTCACAAGTTTGAAAGCTGCAAGTCCAAGAGCAAGTGTCCTCATGGATTTGGCCTCTGCAGAGGAGTTCAAGCAGGCGACACTCAGGACAGAAGCCTGTGTGAGAGAGAAGATCCCAGGGGGCATCAGAAACTAGAGCCAAGAGTGGAGCCAGGAAGACCTCCTACTAGGCCCCAGGGCTTGAGGTCCTGCACTTCAGTGTGGACACACAGCACAGAGGACAGAGCTTCCAAATGGGCGTGTCCAACCTTCTGACACTGCAACAGGACATTGTCCCCACATATTCACCTTGAGAAGAACACAATGGAGGTTTTTTTGTTCTTTGTTTTTTGTTTGTTTGTTTTGTTTTGTTTTTTGATGTAGGAAAATCTCATTCTGTTTTAAGCAAGTTTGCAGTTTTGCACTAGGCTGCACCCCTAACTGTCCCGGAGCACACGCGGCCCTGGCATGGGAATGCAGGGTCCTGAACAGGGGTTCCTACGCATAAGTTGATGGCAACGGGATCCACACAGCCAGGGGTAGGAGCAGCAGACCAGCTTGCTTCCCCCAGGAATGGTACACAGAGAGTTATGTGCGCAGGACCGACAGTCTTAAGCCTTAAAAAGAACGGGCCATTTTGTTTCAGTCGCCCCCTATTGTAGTCCACACTGAAGAAGAAGGAAGACTCCAAAATTCCATGGCCACAGAAGCCACTGCCAGCCCCAGTTCCTTCCACCAGCAGCAGCGGGGAGGATGCTGGGGTCGCGCAGGCCGCATGGCTGGCTGCAGGATCAGCTTTGACAGACCTTAGGGACTTGGAGAAAAGCCTGCGCTCCTGCCCAGAGGTCATCCTTGACACATGGGGACCTTGGTCAGACAGCAATGAAGCACAAGGCTGCCACACTCAGAAAGGGTTACTCCTGCCAGGCGTGGTGGAGCACGCCTTTAATCCCAGGACTGGGGGCAGAGGTAGGCAGATCTCTGTTAGATGAAGGCAAGCCTGGTCTACATAGAGAGTTCCAGATCAGCTGGGGCTACAGGGAGACCCTGTCTCAAAAGTCCAAAACAAAACAAAACAAAATAAATTGAAATGAATGAAAAATGTCTAAATAAATCGATAAGATTGACCTTAAATGTTCTATTTCGTTGAAATTCAAAGGGAAGAGCAACAGCTGTTTTGTCTTTTTTTTTATAAAAAATGCATTTTTCTTCCTTGAGTGTGTGCACAAAGAGTAGCGGGGCAGAAAAAGGAAGCTAAAAAGACGGCCCTCAATTGTAGGTGGTAGAAACCGAACTCTTTATTACTTTGGTTTTCAGCTCGAGCCTTTAACGCCGAGCTATCCCTCCAGTCCACCAGAGAAGTCCTCCTTCTGACTCTCAAGCAGTGAGCTAGAATGACGTAATGCTATTCCTATTGGATAGTCTCACCTGTTCAAACCTTTATGAACTTTTCTTTGCCTCAACTACGACTCAAACTCCCGAAAAATCGCAAGTCTCTGCAGGAAGTGTTTCCGGTCCAGCGGCTGCCGGCTTTGGGCGAGCAGGACCAGAGCAGAGGAGGAGGAGGGATGGGCGGCTGAGGCGGCGGGTTGGAGAGAGAGGGGCGTGTGGTGCGGGGAGCAGCGAGTGTGAGGTCCGGGCTGCAGTCGGGGTCGTGCGTGTGCGGCGGGCTTGGGCTGGTGAGGAGGGTGTGGAGGGGGCGCTGTTTGTGTGGAGGGCTGAAGGAATGCGGCGAGGGCTTGGGGCGCAGGGGTGAAGCGGAAGTGAGGGGAGCATGCGGAGAGGTTTTGCGGGTGCTGGAGTACTGTTTTTCCGCAGGTGTGGTCCCGTGGATTCGTCCTTTATTGTGGCGGGGAGAAAAAGTGTGCTTCCCAGGCTAGCCTCGAACACCAGATCCTCCTCTCTCTGCCTCCTTCTGGAAATCCTACGGGTGAGCACCACCAACTGCTAAAGATAACCGAGCTTTTTCACTAGTGAAGATTGACCCCTGATAACGCCAGCCGTTCGAGTTTCCTGGGGAAGGAGCCTGAAACCCGAAGCCCCACTGACGTTCCCAGCAGCACAGATTACCAGTGGGCCCGGCGCGCATTGCCTTCTGGGACGTGAGGGCGCCCCCTGCCTGTCAGGAACGGAAACGAAGCCCACGGTGGCAAAGCGCGCAGGACTCTGCCTAAGCCGGGAGGGAACCCCGCCACCTGGGACCCGAACCCGCCTGCTGCGGCCTGCCTGCCCTTCACACTCCGCCCCACACGACCTCTGCGGCGCCAGCGTCCCCTGGCCATCTCGGGAGAAATTAAACTCATGACCGAAAACCCACCGGGCCACCTGCTTATGCCCAGGCTGGCCCAGGCCTCCATTTCCACCCCAAGCTCCCTCCTGCCCCGCCCCCTCTCTCAGCTCCAGGCAGGGATCTCCAGTCTGTACTTCAGTTGTCCTGTCTCCATCAGAGGACACAGCACAGTCAGTACCAGCACCAAGGCTGTGAGTGCAGGTTGGCCCTTTGCCCTGGTCACTGACCGTTTTCAAAGGACTCCAACTCTGAAAGTTCCCAGTGCGCATGTGCAGTTATCTTCTGCTCGATGGAAACATTACGCCTCTCCTAACCTTTATCCGCTGGAGGGCCGGGGATGGGCATCGAGTCACTAACAAGGAGTCTAACTCAGGAACCTGCCAGGGTCCACTAGTTCTTGGATGTTTGTCACAGACTTCATGTGTGTGACCCGGTGAGAGGATGGTGTCAGGGAGGGAAAGAGGACACAGCTGGTTCTGTCACTGGCCCTCCCATCGCAAGAGCTCAAGCCCTCCACCAGCTGTCCACACCTCCTTCCAGATACCCACCAGCTCAGGGGAGCACCCTTCCCCAGCGGTAGGTTTCCTAGTCAGGAGTGGGTTCAGGATTTCCACATCTGTGCATCCCCTGGATCTGGCTGGGGCAAGATGTTAAAGAATATTAACAATTTTCAGATATTCAAACCCAAAGATAAAGAATGTGGGCAAAATCCAACTCTCCTATGGTTTCATAGATACCATAAGGTTACTCTTTTTGTTTCTTTTCCTGTTGCTGTTATAATATACCCTGACAAAGGCAATGGAAGGGAGGGAGGGAGGGAGGGAGGGAGGAAGGGAGGGAGGGAGGAAGGACGGAAGGCTGGAAGGACAGGTGGGTTGATTATTATAGCTTACAGTTCAAGGCATAGTCTATACAGGGTGGAGAAGACACAATATCATGACAAGGAGCATGTGGCATGCCCAGCTGACAATGTAGTCAACTTTAAATATATATACATATATATGTATACACACACACACACACATATATATGTATATTACTTTTGGAAGTCTTAAAACCAAAGTGTAGCTTGCCATATTCTCTTCCTTTATGAATGAAGACAACATTATCAGTACTAAATGCTGTGCCTATGGATCATGGAATAAAACTGAGACAAAACAGTACCTCCAAAAACCTCAGTAGGCATGTTATACTTCCCAAATATTTGAAAGCTTCTCTCTCTCCTCTCTCTCTCTCTCTCTCTCTCTCTCTCTCTCTCTCCTCCCTCCCTCCTTCTCTCCCTCCTCTACTCATTCT